GTTTTTGTTTCTGTTTGTTTTTGGGATGGAGTTCTATCGGAGCACCCATGTCAAGTGTGGTTCCGGCTCCAGGGACACCAGCACCCTCTTGTGGCCTTTGGGGCCACCTGCACTCATGTGCACACACACACACACACAGTCACATACATAAACACATGATTAGAATTAAGATAATAAATCTTAAAAAGAAACAAAAATTTCACCTAGGCTGTACATGTGGGTGGTGCAGACCTGTAAATCCCGCATGTGGGAGTCGGAGGTAGAAGGGTCAGCTACGCGGTAAGACTGAGGGCAGCCTGGGACATACCGTAGAAAAACCAATAATAATAATAATAATAATAATAATAATAATAATAATAATAATAAGGGCTGGAGAGATGACTCAGATGTTCCTACAGTGGACAGGTGACCCATTCATAGCATCCACGTGGCAGTTCAAGCATCCCTAACTCCAGTTTCAGGGGATCTGATGCCCTCTTCTGGCCTCTGAGGGCACCAAGCATGCATGTACTGCACATACATACATGCAGGCAAAATACACATGAAATAAATAAATATAATACATAACTTTTAAATAATAAAATTCCATTTACATTCCTGGACTTCTGAATTCATGGCATGCAGCAGACTAAAGACTAAAGCTCCTGCTGTGGCTGGCTGTGGTGATACACACCTTTGATCCGGAGTCAGAGGCAGGAGGTTCTCTGTGAGTTCTAGGACAGCCAGGGCAAGTTAGTGAGATTCTATTTTAAAATAAATAGTAAAAAGTGGGCTGGGGGGCTGGAGAGACGGCTCAGAGGTTAAGAGCACTGGCTGCTCTTCCAAAGGTCCTGAGTTCAATTCCCAGCAAACACATGGTGTCTTACAACCATCTATAATGAGATCTGGTGTCCTCTTCTTGCCTGCAAATGTAGGCAGAATACTGTATAAATAAAAAATCAATAAATCTTAAAAAAAAAAAAAAAAAAAAAAAGAGGGCTGGGACTCAGTGGGGGAGTTTCTGTAGGATGCAGGAGGCTGAATCCAGTATCCGAAAATAAAAGTTACCAGAAATGAAATCTCATTTAGGAGTATGTTGGGGAGGGGAGGGAGGGCGGTGGTGGGGCACACCTTTAATCCCAGTGCTCAGGAAGCAGAGACAGGTGGATCTCTGAGTTCCAGGACGGCCAGGGCTACTCAGAGAAACCATCTCCACCTCGAAGATCAAAACAAGAGTATGTGAATCTGTAGTGTTAGCACAGGCAGCCCAGCCAGCAAAGCTCTCACTTTCCTGTCACCTTGCAGCGAGCAGCCACTTCAAGAGCAGGGAGGGCTGTCAGCCCGCCAGTAAGCTGCGTTGTCTGTGTGTAAAGAAACGCTGCTGACGGCTCTATCAGAGGCCCAGAGTGTTGGCTCATCACACATAAATTTGATCATTATATTTTACAAATATTGTCAGGTATACTCAAGGGCTCCCCCAAACTGGCCCCATAAAGCCCATGGTGCAAAGAAGCTACAGGATGTCTGCTTTAGCTGTGTGAGTCATTCACCTGCACCCCCGAACCCAGGCAGGAAAAGCAGGATCATTAAAAACACGCCTGCTGCTCGGCCCCCACAGGCTGCCCTTCGATGTTCCTGCCAGGCTTCCGGTTTCTTCCCTGTGTAAGGCTCTAGCCCAAGCTTATTCCCTGACCTGAAGCCCAGCTGCCTAATTTTTCCTTCACAGAAAGCTTATCTACCTTAATTAAAGTATCACATCAAAGACTATCCCTCTCCCTTCAGTCCCAAACCTAGACCCCAAACTCTGTGGAGCTGTGTACCCTGAGTACACAATATTCAGCAGATTATGGGTTCAAATCCCAGCCCCGCTGCTTAGAAACAGTCTAATCTTGGACAAGTGATTAAACATCTCCAGAAAACTGGAGGTGAAGCCAGGTATGGTGGCCACACCTTTAATCCCAGGACTCAGGAGGCAGAGGCAGGTAGATCTGTGTGAGTTCAAGGCCAGCCTGGTCTACACAGTTCCAGGTCAACCAGGGCTATGTAGAGAGACCCTGTGCGCGCACACACACACACACACACACACACTCACTCACACACACACACTCACACACACACACACACACACACCATCACCACAGTCTCATCCTCAGGATGAAGGATCATGAGTGAAGGAAGCAGGTGATCACATGACTCACTCTAAAAGGTACAATGAAAGTGAATCTGAAGAGAACAAGGCCAGCCTGGTCTACAAAGCAAGTCCAGGACAGCCAAGGCTACACAGAGAAACCCTGTCTTGAAAAACAAAACAAACTAAATTACTGAGGGAAAGCCAGATCCATGCGGAAGGAACACGTGTGAAATCAAATGACATCCAGTGGCTACACATCTGGGAAACTGCTCCATGAGTGGGGCGGAGGGCTGGTGAGGGCTGGCTAACAGCAGGCTGGCAGGAAGCAGGGCTTTCTGACAAGCAGATTAGCAAATAACACAGGAGCAGCGTTCTCGTGTGGAGAACTCACTCAGCAGAGGGAAAGCCCAGTGGTGGAGCACCTGTCTGGCAGGATGACAGAACCGTTCTACAATCCACGAATCCTGCCGCTTCCTATGACAGCCTCAAACCACGGCGGCCACTGAGAACCAGAACTGTGGCCGGTGCCATCGTGAAACAAACCGAAACTGTACTTAATGCTGACTTAAATTAAGGTTGGCTACTACGTAGGGTACAGCAGTGTGCATCAGTGGATAGTTAAGGAAGAGACCGGTAAGATTCTGGGGGATACAGTCCCAGGGATGAGGCTGTGACCTGGAAGCTGCTGTCCTTCGGCGTAACACAGGAGCAGGTCTGGTGAGCACGCTGCAGTGTCTGGGTTACCCAAGCATGTCCAGGAATTAATAAGAAGTTCAGAGAACTGCGTGAACTAATGGTGGAGTTGAAAGGCTTGAGTCACTGAAGATGACGAGACGGGAGGAAAGTGACTTCCAGACAAACACAGCAGGAAAGGGCTACCCAAGTCCCCGAGGGAGAGGCACAGGCAACACAGAAGCCAAAGGTCAAACGAGAACACAGAGGTGGGTCCGGAGGTTGTCCGGTGGGGGTCTTGGTAATGCGCTGAGAACCTCACACATAGGAGCTGAAAGAAGGCGGAAAGGACCCGCCGGGAGGACACAGTAGGGAGAGAGTATTGCTAAGTCCAGGTCAAGGCTGTTCAAGGGAGTTAAGCACGGTGAGTGCTTACTGACAGGGTACGAGACTGAACGGGGTTTTCTTTTTGGCTAAGAAATCGAGATGGACAGGTGAAATAACTTAGGTTCACAGAGAAATGTGATCAGGTCAAAAGCAATTTCCTTACACCGAGAACCCCCTGACAAGATGCGAAAGAGGCCTGCCCCCGTATACACGTGGAGGGTGCGGGTGGTCGGCGGTGAAGAGTGGAAGTCAGACCGTATTTGAAAGACAAAAAAACGGAGATAGAGGCAAGCTTCCCACCTTAAGCCGAACGCAGTACGTTTAAATTTTAACAAGACGAATTCAAGACAGAAAATGAAAGAAACCGGTAAGACTGGCCAGAAACTTTTGAGTATAGACAACGTCAGAAAAGAATCGGGATCAAAACGACTCCTCCTGTTCCAGCGTCAAACGGGGCCCGCACCGTGCCAGCGGAGGCCAGCGCTCCGGGGAGGCTCGCCCTGCAGGCCCGCAGCGCGGACAGGCCCCGCGGGCGTCCCGGGACCCCGGCTGGGCGCCGCGCGGGCTCCGATCACCAGGTGCGCGGCAGCGCCTCGGGGCGCAGCCGGAAGGAGCTGCTCCCGCCGCCGCCGCGGTGCGGGAGAGGCCGCGGGGCGCGGGGCCGCGCGCTCCCGCCCCACCCGCCGCGCGCAGCG